TATTCGAACTCCTTGCCCCACAAAACTAAATTTTGAACGTATTGCTTATCATAGCTGCGCTAAATTGGTGTTTCAGCCGTAAAACCGGTGGCCATTTTGGGCGCCATATTTGATTTTAGGGTCTCTGGAGGGCCGCAGCGAAAAATGGACCTCATTTTCGGACTCTACGACCCCGAAAACCTAATAATTGATACCTCACTATGCACTTGGACCCGTATAGGCAAATTAGTGCCCCTGAGTGGTATTTTTGGCCGCCATCTTGGATTTGGAGCCCTCCTTTGGGTCGGGGGTGTTTTTAAATGTGATATTCGGATTCCTCGTGTCATTTTACATAGGAATCGACATCTGACTCGACGCTATCCGCAAACTTTAAATCTTTCACCATGGCGGCGGCCATCTTGGACGCCATCTTGAATTCTGGGCGTCGTTTCAATTTTTGAACTTGACACCATCGAAATTCTGATTCTAGACATCTTAAAGAAGAGAATGACATATCTCAACAATTTTACCCACGAAGCTGCACACGGGACCTTTTATTTGTACATGTGGTACTGGACTACAATTTCAACGTAGAATATTATTCCAGTTGTTGGGCAAAAATAATACAGAGTTCATTAAAGAAGTGCTTGATTTAAAAGTTAGCAAAATAAAGTTTTTATTTAATTTTGCAGTTTTCTTCGCAAATTTTAAAAGTACGTCTCTGCTGAAGAATGGATGATAGTAGGATGATAAATATGCGTTAATGGGGGATACCTACTTACCGTATTCTTGTAGAAAATTCACATGTTTAAAATCAGAATAAGTAAAGGTCCCTCGCCAAGACGGTTGTGAGTGCCGATTTTTCACTACCTATCCGTTTTTTAAAATTTGGAACAAGTTCAAAAGACAATTCTTTCTATGGTGAAAATTCACCATTGCAAAATCACTTGAACATTCTTATTTCCCAAACAAACGTCAAACATTCTCTAATTTGCAGACAGGGACTTTAACAGAAGATGACCTAGATATGTGGGGTGTTATTCCAATGTCAAATGGTCAAATGGACACTCCAGTCCGAATGGTTCATAGGATGGATTCAAAATATTTAAAACTTGGAATGGCAACTTGCCACTCATTGACAATGATTGAAGGAATTGTCTCTGGCGATCCTCTAGATTTAAAGGTTGGTAATTCAGTGATTTAGCAATATTCTTATGTTTATTTGGCTCTATGCATATGGCATGGATAAAATTTAACTAAAATTATTATACTACTTAATTGATACCTTTTAAATTAAAATACAAAATGGAAGTTCTTTAAACTGTGCTAACTGTGGTATACATGTCGCTCTTACAACACGCTTTCTGACGCTTGACAACACCAAATCGTTACGCATGCGGTCATTAGGCAACGTGTTTCGAGTAGTATTAGTTATCTTAAGTATATCAGTGTTTGGGTGGATCATGCAGAAGGGAGGCGGTTAAATGTGGAATAGAAGGAAGGAAAGCCATCGCGATTCTAATGGCCGGATTTTGTAAATAGGCCGTCGAGGCCACGGCCTAGGGTGGCAAAGAGCCTCCCTAAAAAAGGGCCTTTTTTGGCCCCTTTTCGGGAACCCGGGGATTTCGTTCGTGTGTGGCTTAAATGAAACCTTATGACGAGGTAAGCCTCCAGTAAAAATTTTAGCTTGAGTCTAAAGTTTTAGCTTTTAGTCTAGTTTCCGAGATATAGCGTTGCAAAGTTGGCATATTTGAGCTTCAAAATTCTCATATTTTCAAGTATCTAATTTTCTGAGAACGATTCAATTGGATGTTTTATGATATTTTGTGACATTTTATCAAATGTTAGTATTATTATCGAATGCATATTTCTATTGAAACATTAATACTGCTAATTTTGTTGATACAACGTTGCAAAGTTGACATAAAAATGTTCATTTTATCGAGTTTCTTAATTAAAAAACGAACTTAGTGACCGCTAAAAGATATTTCTTGGGGGTTTAGATGCAGTTTTATGATAGATTAGGTAAGTCTTTTGTTAAAGTTTAACTCAGAATGTAAGTATAGTTTTAACGATACAGAGTTGCAAAGTTTATACATTTAAGGTTTAAAAATGTCTATATTTTTAAGTTCTGTGTTCAAGAAGCTACTTTCGTAGAATTTAATCACGATTTCAGGCAGAAAATCAACCATCGTTAAAACTATACTTACATTCTGAGTTAAACTTTAACAAAAGACTTACCTAATATATCATAAATCTGCATCTAAACCCCCAAGAAATATCTTTTAGCGGTCACTAAGTTCGTTTTCAATTAAGAAACTTGATAAAATGAACATTTTTTTATGATCTGTACCTCTGAATCGGTTGGCAATCGCTTTACATCATGGAAGTTTTTCCGCGCGGGAACAGATGAAAGTCACATAAGGCTAAATTAAGAGAGTATGGAGGATTGGGGAAAAATTCTTCGACGCAAAGCAACTGATTTGGATGTGCAGATCGCTGTAAAAAACTGGTTTCAGAGCCAAGGCGAGAGCTTTTATGCGGACGACATCAAGAAGCTATTGTAATGATACCAGAATTGTCAAAAAAGATGTGGAGACTACGTCAAAAAGGAAAATAAGACCTATTCAATGAAAAATTTTAAATTCCTTTCTGATGTGATGTTTAGAGGCGAATGCCCGAGTCTGAAATAATTGACTCTCCGCGCATCCTGATCCCGGAGGTGGGCACGCGGTGAAAGGAGGTTTTCTCAGTAAAATTAAGTTTTCTCGCGAACCCCTCGACCGATTTTCAAAAACTTGGGCTTGTTATGTCAAATATGTGTCTATTTATCGATTTGATTGATCTTTTTTCCTTTAGAAGATACAAGGTAGGGAACCTTACTTTTTGGATGACCCTCTTACATGCTGGATCTGCAGATGAACCTAACGCTGAAAAAATTTGTCCCATGAATTTAAGTTCTCTGACACATATTCTACTCTTAGCTAAATTAAATGGAAGTTCCTTGTCAGCTGATCGTTCATACACTTTATCTAGATGTTGATCATGCTCTTTTTCTGTTTTTTCCCATATGATAATTTCATAAATATAAATAAGGACACCGTCCAAACCATGAAATGCTTTTGTAAACCCAATACTAAATGATTCAGTACTTATATTTAGGCCAAAAGGTAGTTTAAGGTAGCGAAACTTGCCAAATGGGGTGCTAAATATTGTTAAGTAAGAGCTCTCTTCAGTAAGTTCAATCATGTGAAAGCTTTTCGATGCATCTAATGTACTAAAATAGGATACATTTGGCATACTGTGCGATAATACCTTCAAATGTGGGTATTTGGAAATTTCCCTTTAGTAGGGGTGTTCAAACGAATTCTTGCCGGAACACTATCGACATCGTCTCTTATTGAAACTGGCGGCAGTACCGACAGTGGCCATGATATCGACAACAGCCGGCCTTATCGGAGTTTTGAGAGCTCGCACTCAATACATTGTTGCCCCGTGTGTCGGTTTATCAGATTGCCTGGCGCGGCGGCGCGTAAAATAGATGTACAATTGGCAACAGCTTATTTTCGCCAGCTCCGAAAACTCTGATCGCTATCGGTAAGAGCGCTCTTATCGTAACTTTTTCTTAACGGAACTGTTTCGGTGGCTTACCGACAACCGATTGAACAGCCCTACCCTTTAGGGTCATTCACCAAAATAGCATTTCACCAAACTGGAGAAGATTAATTAACGTCATTTCATTTCGCCTTCCATTTCAGTGTAGGCAACAGGAGCTTCTCAGGAGCTTCTTCAGGATACGCTATTTTGGTAGTGACCAGAAATCTAAAGTAACACTGGTCAACACGGGTTCAAATGTGATTGTCTTAGAATAGTTTTTAGCGCTGAGTCCGAAAATGACCTCCGTCATGCTGGGTCAGTTCGATTTTCCCCGGAAAAATCAGGATTTTCCTTAAAAATCGAGCTTTTCCGGTGAAAAATCAATTTTCCGGAAAATCTGTGCATGATGGAGGATCCTGATTTTTCCGGGGAAAATCGAACTGACCCAGCATGACGGAGGTCATTTTCGGACTCAGCGCTAAAAACTATTCTAAGACAATCACATTTGAACCCGTGTTGACCAGTGTTACTTTAGATTTCTGGTCACTACCAAAATAGCGTAGTTTATAAAGAGTGTATTCATATTGGATCGGTAAGGGAGGGGGGTTAGAGGGGCTTGGGGCTTAAGGTGGAGGATGGGATGCATTTTAGGTTATATATTGCCTATTTATGAATAAAATTATCAATTAGAACTCTCCGTGAGGCCTGAGAAAATTTGCCAAAATGGTTGAAAAAATGCGAAAATTAGCCGAATTTTGCAATTCGCGCACCTCTAAATGTTGACCAACTGCAAAACTGTTCTACAACGTTTGTTTTTACACTATTAGGAACGTTTTGGCGGGGTCCCTTGTCATTTTCAAAATTCAACCTTTTTAATGTCTCGTATAAGCCGCACCCTACCCCCAGACTCAATTTTTTTGAGCGTTTTTTGCTAAAAAGTGTGATTAACCAATGAAGAAGCTGCATACCCACGATTTTTATTTTTTAATCAGTTAGAGCATACTTTGAAGTTGATTTACAAAAAAAAAAAGTTGGCAATATCTCGTTAGCTTCGGTTGCTATGCCCATTTTAAGAAAACTAGTTTTTAGCGTTAAAAATCAGGGCTAAAACGGCGTATCTTCGGCTCAGTAGGCCCTCCTGAGTGAGTCGGGTTCAATTGGGAATTTTTCCCTTAAAATACATACTAACACGAACTAGTGTGCCAAATTTCAGCTTAAAATCTTTAAAACTGCAAGACTTATGAGGTTTTTTCAAACACGAGTCATTCCCGTTTTCTGAGTCTGGAGAGTGCATTTTTAGAGAAGGCCATAAAACTTCAAAAAAAATTTTCTCAAGAAATATTGAAGATATGGAGCTGAAAATTTGGGCTTTTTCTTACATTGACCGATGGATTAAGTAAAAAAAAAATCATGGAAATCCGAGTCGGGTGGTTACAAGTCCGTTCGAATTGACATGGAATGACCCTTTATAAGACAGGCATTTAATTGTGCTGGGTCTAAACACATTCTTATTTCTGTGTCAGATTTTCCCACCTATAATGGTTACTCGACCTGTGTCGTCAGTTCTTTCGTTCACGATAACTATCGTTAGATTTACGTTAGCTGATTCAAATTTTGTAATTTTGTTCATTTTGGTCTGAAAAAGAACTGTATAGATTTTCGGTCAAATCGCATTTACCGTTTATTAAACGGTAATTAACGTAATTGACCTACTTACGCTGTTTTCCACTAAACTGTTTTTATGAATGTTCCATTCCTTGGTTTCCTTGGTATGTTTGCTATCAGCTGATGTTTTATTTCCATTTTAATCATTGCTAGGTTAGTTCTAATTTTTTGCCAGCATTTATTCTACCCCGCCCCCTCACANCTCCCGCAGCCGCCCCCCCCCCCCCACTCATTTTATTTATATTTTTTTTTCTTGTGGCATGCCTTGCTCCCCTACCACCATTTTTCGGGGTTTCATTCATAGGGATAAAATATTGTATTGTATATACATCTTCGATATATCGTTCGATATAAAGCAGGATAGACAGGGATAAGACGGAATTGATATTCACCGGGATAAAAGGTAGGAATTTTCAGAAAAGGGGAATAATCAGTGTGAAACGGGGTAGATAAGAATTAAACAGGATAGATAGTGATAAAACAGGTGTGGCGGCCAATCACCGCCTCTCCAGCGCGGCGCATCCCGCGCTCGCCCGTGATTGGCCGACACGGTCGCTCCCCGAGGGTATAAGACCAGCGCCCCCGACCACCTACGGCACTCGTGCTCAGTCCTCAAATCAGTCAAGACCAGTCACGCTGCTCCAGTCTTCGCTCGCTCCAGACGCCATCCATCCTGTCTCTCATCACCATCTAAAACGGCCCTTTTCAGGGCCACCACATCACTTGAGCACCCACAGTGGTGACTCCCGACATTGGAAATTACGCTCCGACTGCGCTCACTTTCTACTCTGGTCAACCTTCTACTCAACTCGTCACACCTTTAGGAGTCAATCTCAATCATGAGCATCCCAACATTGACCGATGAAGACATGCAAGATCCAGCAAAGGTAAAACAATACCTGGCTAATGCTGAAGCTCTAC